TGAGCACCGGGAGTGAGCATGGGGGGGTTATGAGCACCGGGAGTGCATCCCCTCAGAGATGAAGGGCAGCGGTTATGAAAATGGACCCTCGTTTTTTTTATCTGCCGCAGAATGCCTCAGCGGCATAATTGTTCGGGATAGAAGGTCAGAAGCGCCGCCCGCGTTTTATAACAGTGACCTGCGCCGACCCGTGAGTGCCAGCTTTTATCGGCTGCTTGTCGAGATGGGAGTCACGGGGGAGGGAGAGTGGTAGAGTGAGCGGCCCGGTTCTGATAAGGACCCGGCTGGCTAGGGGAAACCTGTCCTGGCATCCGGTCTCTTCCCTGGACCAAACTGCACCCACATGCCGCCTCTTGCCCCACTTCGTCTCCCTCGGCCTTGGCCACAGCGCCCCCTACATTTCAGGGGTGATTGCCAACACACAACCTGGACTGTGGCAACCCTCCATCCTGTGCAAAGACTCTATGCCACACCCTCAGTACTGTGATGAAATATGCCAGTATTTCCTTTCAACCAGAAAGGGGGGCATTTTCTGGACCTTCATAAAGGAAGAAAATGTGGTGTCTAAAAACTGCTTTCCATTGTTTATTCTCTGCAGCAAAAATTATGATAAGAACTGGCAAACTGACTATATATTTAACATACAGTTCTAATTGAATTACTGCTGTATGTATTAAGGTTAATGCTTTGAAAACGCACCTGATTTCAGGGTCTGAATGTAGTTCTGCAGGCCACCTTCCCAAACAAGGCACATTGGCTTAAAGAACCGCTCCACACTCCTGCGTATATGTACAGTGTGGGTGGGAGGCGGCTTGTGTTTAACATTTGCGGGGGCTTGTTAATGCAGCCAGGATCAGCTGCTCCCAAACACTGCCCGGTACACTGTGCAGGACCCCGACTGCACGGACAGCCTGAAGTAGTGTATCGCTGCTGCTATGCAACAGTCGCCCTTATGCCAATTTCAGTTTTCCCGTACAATTAAAGGAAAGATACAATTTGCGTGTTCTCCCTGTGTCAGGCAAAGTTTCTTCCAGCTACCCTGTTTTCCTCCTTCAGTCCAAACCACACAGTTGCAATAGCAGCTGGCATCTCTGAATGGCCCATAATCCGAGGGCGTGTGCGTGTGTGACTGTGTGCCCTGCCGTGGGCTGGCATCCCTTCCAGGGTGTCCCCTGCCCAGTGCTTCCAGATTCACCACGAGCCTCTGCTGGAATAGCAGTTATTGAAGATGGGCAGAAATATATATAAAAGCACATTTTTTCAACATCAGGCACCAAAAGGCAGAGAGACAGTAAAGACAGAAAAATGAGCCACACACAGACTAGATAGCAGAGAATAAGACCCTCTGTCAGGCTACCAGGACCTCAGACACATAAGAAGGTTCCTTTCCCCAAGTTCAAAGCCAGCCAATGTCCCCTATCATCTAACTGCACAGTAGATACAGTTTGAAGCACAACCATGTAGCAGCAACGCAGCCGGACAGACAGAGGGTATTTTTCCCATGAGTCCTTGGTTCCTTTCCCATCTTCAGACGGAGCACCAGCCAAGCGCCTTACTTGGTTCCCTGTGGTGCACAGCTAGGCATACTGGCCAACCCAGAAACTGCCAAGGGTTTCAGACATCCCCACAGACTGACCCCAAAGTGGGCACCCGGAAGACTGCCGCTGCTGACCCGCTCGCAGCGTCCCACAGATGAAAGCATGGAATGCCCTTCATCTGGAAAGCCGCACGGACACATCCTTTTTTAGTATGGAAAACAACCGCCGGCTGCTTCTTTGGAAAGCAGCAGGAAAAAAAACTCCAATCAGTCAAACAAAAGTTCGGAACACATGCGGATCAAAGAAGTTTTCGCAAATAATTCTCCCAATATGGTGAGCAGGGGACATGATTAACATGTAATTACACAGGTTGGCTACCCGGAATTAACCGCTCCATGTAGGTTTTTCAAGTAAACTGCCGCATGTGATTCCAGCAGTTCACTGAGAGGGCGAGCGGAATCTGGGATGGACCGCGGCCCTAGCAGAGCTCATTAAAGCGGGAGATTTGCTTTTTAAATGAATCATCAATCTGGTGCTGTTTACATGCTCCATTCCACTCCACATCCGGGCAAGTCCTTAAACTGGGATGACAGGATGGCTATTTAGTCCCAGCATCCAGTCTTCTTGACCTGAGATGCTCAACGGTCAACAACAGCCCAGAACAGGATCAACACTCCACCCAGGACAACATCGTTCAAAAGCACACACCCCTCCCTCCTTCTAAACACATATTCACCACTCCATTACCCATCATTCATGTTGCATATGGCAGTATTTTCCCAATGTCGCCCTAATTCATATCCTTCAGCTCACGAACGATTAAGCACTGTCCCTAAAGGTTTGCTCCATACTTGTTCTAAACCTGCTCTTTCAACCTCACAAGCAGAACTTTAGAGCAGATCACTGATGCAGATCTAATGCTGTCCAGGCTCAAAAATATGCTGCATTTCACCTGGTTGATACTGTACAGCATGTTAGGACATTGTGAGGTTGAGATCAGCAGCGAACTCCTCACAATCGCCAAGAGACAGTCTGTGCCCTTTGGCCACGTTGACAGCCTGTGAGCTTCTCCTCTGAACGCTCTGTTGGATGATGCCATTGTGCACGTAGTGCGTTTTATCTTTCTAACCAGGGGAGGGCTGGAATGAGAGCATGAAGGTGATAACAACTGTCATTAATTCGCCTAAATCTCCTCCCGGCTCCGTCCCACAATCTTTCTGCAGCACACCTGTTAACCAGGACACAGGTGGACCTAAGACATGTAATGAACCATCACCATGACACCAGAGCGAAAGGAGCTCCACAGCTTAAACATGTACTTCATGAGAAGCTTCCTCAGGAAGTGTCTGTTCTGTTTATTCCCTCGATATTTATACATTTCACTTCTGTGTTGCTGGCGTCCATCTTGAATCTGTTCTCAGACTTGTGGTGCTTCCTAAAGGGATGTCTCACGACTGTGTGGGAGAAATCCTGGTGGGAATGTGTGATTAGGAGCGAGACACTCGTAAACACACGTCTCCGTTTAACCATTGTTGGTGGCTGGGGGTCGCTCCTAGATTTTCTCCCGTAGGATAGAATCGAACAATATGCTCAACACCAAATGTGAATTTTATGTTAGTACAAAAAGAAAAGACAAGAGAATTTCATCTGAAAAAGTGAAACCTTCTCACAGAAAATTGTCCAGTCAGTGTGGATGGAAACCATTAGATAAGAATCTCTGTAATCAGACCACATACTGTCTCTACCTTTCTTTCTAACCTCTATCAAGATTTTAGAAAGTTGCTCCTGGGATAAAATATGGGATATTTCAGACAGTACAGCCCTAGTAACTTTCTGCCATTCTTTAGCCAAATTGTAACTCTGTATGCTCATTCTTTCATTCTCATTCTTTCATGAGCCTGAACATTCTGGCACAGTAGACAGTCTAAATACGATAACAAAACATATTGTGGAATATAGCAAATCCAGAAATATAATTAAGGTATTCATCATCTGGTTTCCCAGAAAAATTAAAGTTTAAGTGCTCCATCCTGCTTTTTAAAATTTGGGCATTTGGGCGGACAGAAAGTCAGCATGAGAGGCAAGGCTGCAGTGCCGATGGTCACCAAATGAAAAGCGGATGGGCAGCTGTCTGAGGTAAACAAACTCATCACGGGGTTTGTCTCCCGACGACTTTACGCCTCTCTGCTGGGGCCGCCTTTTTACGGGGATGGCGGCCGCAAGCCAGCAGATCCATGTTTCCCCTCACAGCTGCGGCTTATTTCATAATGGCACGGAGAAGACGACCTATTGGGGGGAGAGGCGTGGGCGGGAGAGGGGGCCGCTGCGGGGGCTGTGACCGTGCGCCATATGGGGGTCACGGAGCACAGGTGCTGAAACTGCCGGAGGTGTGTGACGGTGCTGTCGCAACCAAGTCACCGTTTCACACAAGCCCATTTGTACTAAACGAAAATCCAAGACACCTCAACATAAGCCACACGACCCAAAGCCAAACAGCCCTAAGCTGGCATGGCACTTTGACTCATGCAAATAAAATTATCTGAAAGCTTAAGATAATTCTTTTATGATAATTCTGTTCTCACAAAGATTTTTATGTTTTGAAAGACCTTTATTTCTGATTGTACTCTGTAACACTAAACCTAATCATAAAGCATAAAAACTCATGCCACCTGCACACCGCCTCTTACTCTATCACCCATTTTATGACAGCCAGCCACGCCCATATGGCCAGATGCAGTTCCCATCAGCAGACCCTAAGACAGAGAAAATCTAAGACGCTTGTCACCAGCATGGTCCCTCTGCAGAACATTTGCTCAGTTCTGGCACTTAAGCCAACAACCTTGTGGCTCCAGCTTTGTGGTTCAAATGCTAACCACTGTTACCCTACCCCAGCAATATGCTCTAAAGGTTTAGATCTCAGTTAAATTGGAACAACTATACATTCTTAAACAGTGCATCGCTCTAAGATCTAATAAGGCGTGGCCACGAGATAATTAAGACAATAACACATAACCACGAGATTTCAGAATGCCTGGAAACACATGGACTTCGAGAGTGGATAAAAGTAAGTATAATTTTATAAAGAAATTATATATTTTTTAATTGATAACATAATTGTGAGAAGACACATGCTAACTTCCTAACGGCGTTATCGACAAGATCATTAGACAAGCGTACAACAACCTGGAAATTTAACTCGTTCCCACGCTTTAAGAAAGTGGCCACGCAATACATATTTTTTTCTCCTATGTCACCAGAGGGGCTCCATACATTTTAAAAGAAAATTTATATAATACAACATAAAGTGTATCATTGTGGGGCTTCTATAAATCTTCCAATTGTGACTTAATATCATGCAGATGGCCCATTGCATTATATGGGAGCCAGAGCCAATACCACAAAGCTCTTTTCAGGGTAAGGGACTCCTTTATTTCTAGCAGAAGGCCCAGTTAGGGGCTGCCGGTACAGACATAAGGACACGGCCAAGCATCTCAGCAAACGAGTAACCGCGGCACATGCTGGCAGCCGGCTCAAAGCTGACTGCACGGAAGGACCGAGTAAGACAATCACACAGCTGCTCTTTGTTACACATTTGGGTGAGGCGAGTGTTTCTCGCGTGTCAGTTTCAGCACTGGGATAGGCGATGATAGCAGCCATCCAGACTTGCTCTATTTGTTTTTCACTAAAACAGGAATGCAAAGGTCCCCTCACTGGTCCTCCAACGACACGGTGGACCTTCTGCCATGCAGATGCAACTGTGTGGAGGCACTGAGGGCTCCTTTCAATCGGCAGGAGCTCAAGGTGGCTTCATGCTAACGAAGTATCATCTGGTAATTTGCAGAAAAGTATATATCCCCCTACAGTACATCATTGCTGTGATGTGAATAACCTTGCGAAACTACATCACCGGTGTTCTGGATTGTTGAATGTTATCACAGGCTGAGAGACAGCCCAGCCCAGGCCACTGTGGAGAGTCTAACTAGGGGGCGCCCTGATGCCTTGGCCTATCCCCCCCGAGCCTGTTCCAGGTCCCACACTAAACGCTGGGCTTGTTTATCGCAAAGCCGTGATCCACTGCAGATGTCATCCTGTGCGTCCGCTGGGAATTTAAGTGCAGCCCTGGATGTCATGAAGCTATAAACAGAAGATAGACCTGGGTGCCATGCCAGAAACTGCTATTCCCATGCAAGTCTTCCCATCAGCCTCAGCCTGGGTGTGGACACCCTTCGAATCCTCCAGGACAGATCAAGCGACCCCCCCCCCCCCCACACACACACACACACACACACATACTTGGACGCTGGAGTCCACTTTCCAGAAAAACACAAATGAAACACAACCCGGACGCCAGCTACAAATCCCACTACACACACACACACACACATACTTGGACGCTGGAGTCCACTTTCCAGAAAAACACAAATGAAACACAACCCGGACGCCAGCTACAAATCCCACTAGTTAGTGGGAGAGAGAGAAAGAGAGAGAGAGAAGGAGTGCAACAGGAACTAGTGTTTTTGTGGAGAAAGAAACCACTCTCGGTTTGTCAACAAGTGTGGACCTCAGATACGGAGTGTAACGCAAGCAGCCCCTGGATATGCATGCAGCGGTACCTGCTGCACAGCTGGTCCCGGTTAAAAGTGCACTGTTTTACATGCGAGAGGGCTATTAGCAACCTGCTGGAGATAATGCGGCCGGGCGCTCAACCATAACACAATGTTCCGCGTATAACGGCCGCCGAGCCACAACAAATGAGGGCGTTTGTTGGAGTCTGGGCCGCTGCGGCCCCTTTGAGGCGTGCACTGGGTCAGACAGAGCACAGCAGGACGGCCGCGGAAGAATTCCTGCTAATTACAGTCATGGTTTGCAAAGGTGCATTTTAATTAAAGTGGAAGCCGACAGCGATGTACGCAGCCGTGGCGTCGGACTGCCGTGCCTCATGCTTCTAGCTAACACATGTGCTCCCAGAGTGAGTAGGAGGGAAAGAATAAGAATCAGCAGGTAGGAGTCAGAGTGCCCCCCCTCCCTTCCCGCTCCCCTCCACGGTACCTGAAGATGGGTCTGTGGAGAAATTTCCTCTTGAAAGTGACACTGTCGTCCATTGAGAGTCGGCGCTGCCGCCCGCTGGGGCCCCGGGCTGCCTGTCCCCGGCCGATTCTCACGTCAGAGAGTGCGGCGAGACTGACGGGAGCCTCCCTTTCTGACCGCTCAGCGAGGGAGGCCACGGGAACCACATCAGAGAGGGTGCGACGGCAGCCAAGTGGGGTGGGGGGTGGGGGTTCTCACCCTCTCCCTGTGTGGGACCCTCTGCTGAGAGCGAGCTCAAACCCGCACGCGTACTGAAGCCGTGCGAGCCCCACCCCCCGCTGGCCCCCTCCCCGGACGGGGAATACCGAGTGCCCTGGAGCATTCTTATCTCCAGCCTCAGCCTGGGGAGGACGTTCTGAGTTTCTCTGATGGCCCCGACCGCTTCCAGCAGGGCCACCTTTCCCCCTCCTCTCCTGTTCGGTGAGAAGATGAACTGGGCTGGTCACACGGTGCTGGCCCCGTGTCAGGAAGTGGGAATTATTTTCCAATCTGGCTCCCATTTACTCCCGGAGCTGGGAAGGCCCCTGCCGCCCTCATTGGGCCCTCGGGGGCCACATTGGGGCGGAGGGCCAATACACGTGGCAGTACCTCGTGTCGGACCGGTCAGTACCTATTAGAAAGGACAGACACCAGCCCTGGCTTCCCTGTTCCCCATTAAAAAAATTAGCGTGGAGCCCTAAAAACACACCCTCTCGTGTGTCTTATGTGAAACTAATATAAAATGTTACAGTGCCACGTGAGGCTGAGCAGATGGCAAAACACACTCGCAGTTCAGCTCATATACACAATGAACTGTTCCCTCTGCTAGGTCGTACATTTATTACACTAAATTCCACACAATCTAAAGACGATAACTTCCGACACAGAGAACAGTCATAGAAGCAGACTGAGGCTCTAAACTGCAACGGCCATAAACAAGTGAGCATAAGCAGATGTCAGATGGACTTCGCTGGCTTGCATGGAGGGGTAATGCAATCAAAGCAGCTCACAGTTACATACTTCTACCTATTTTTGCAGCCTGGTATTAGATGCACTTCATGGAAGAAACCTTCACTAGAAGGACAACCAGCTGGTCATCCCTGGACAGGAACGGGCAATCTTTCAGTCACAACCAGGGCTATCCCACTGATGGCCCGGAGAGCGGCGTGCCCAAAGTGCGTGACGAGCGGATGTGGTGGGTGTCATCCTTTCAGAGGAGGATGAATGCAAGGAGTCAGTCCATTGGGTGGGGGGATATGGGGGGAGGTACTTGTTGAGTGATCAGATGCAAAGGGCCCACAAAAGCAATACAGACCCAGTAAACCTTCCCTCTACATCTCCTCAGTTTGGGTCAAAAACTAAACAGTTTGCCCAGTTGTGTTCTCTCCACATCAAGGGATGGAAAGTATGCACTGGCGACTGCAACCTATTAACTTACGCAAGCTTCGAACATGAAAATCCGGAACAGGGGAGACTTTTGTGCTGGCTTTGAAAGCCGCTAGGGTCGGTTCACGCCTAACAAGGGACTGCGTTTTAACGCTCACTAATCAGCTAATTAGCAAACCGGGGGTGTCAAACAGGAGCGTAAGGAGACAACAGGGAGAGAACAGTAGTAACAACAGACACTAGCAGGCGTCAAAGAGACTCAGTTGGACCAGACTGGAGGCTGGGTGTTATTCTTGGTGGGAGGACGATACAGGCATTTAACGGTAAATAGGATTTAGATGTTCAAGGGTCGGTTTGTTCTCATGACCACAATCACTCCCACGACACAATAGAAACATGAGTAATACTGGGCAGACTTGTTTGGGATCAGATTAACCAGAGAAATATACAGGTAGGAGGAAGTATGTGGTTCAGCTAATTAGGATTCTGTGCCTGTGAGCAGAAGGTCACCGGTTTAAATCACAGGATCAGCTGGCTGATGCCACCCTTGGGCTCTTAACCCACCAACTGCTCTAGGGGTGCTGCTCACCAACCAACCCCGAACCTGAACCCCAGTCTTCACTGTGTGTGTGTGTCTGAAAGGACAGCAAGATGGGATATGTGAAGATAAGCATTCAAATGTACATGTACTCATGCTTGCACAAATGACAAATAAAGCATAATTTCACTTACAGCGAAGGAATGATCATTAATTAATTAATCTAGCAGTGGAGAAGCAGTCACCATCTTGAAGAAAAGCCACAACACGTCACCCGCTGTTCCCCTCCCAACCCCGTCCAACACAACCCCGCCCAACA